TGCCACCAAGTTTCAAATTCCTTGGTACAGTAAAATGCAAGTTGAAAAGGGATAAAACCAAGCTTAGGCCTTTTTTTCCCAAATATTCTCGACGTCTCCTCTGAAGACATCATAAGGTTGATCGCTGGTGATATTAAAAATCAAGTCAAATGAGGGAAATAGAGATTTGGGGATAAAATGACAGAGCCCAAATTGTCGAGCAACTAAATTAGGTTGATAAGAAACCAAGCCCGGAGTGGTGCCAATAATACCAGCTGACAGAAACTGAGGAACCAAAAAGCGCCTCCAGATAGCTAAATAATTACTCTTGTCTTCATTTCTTAGAGGAGGGAAATCTCTAGTAAACCACTCAGGGCCATCAGGTCTATGATAGAAAGGAGCCATTGAAGGTTCAAAACTGACACGAGTCAACATAATGCTGAACAAGAGTCGAAATACCTGGGCGCTGGGTGAAGTTTTATCACCAGGGGTCATAGGAATTAGGTGTTTCCAAACAATGTGACGTTCCACTGGAAGACATGCCACTCTTCTCATCACATACTGCCTGATATCTTTAGAGAAAGTGGCGTTGAGCCACAATTGTAAGAACCAAAAGGGGCCATGGGCCAAAATGTTCTTCTTCTTGGAGTTGGTAGGGTCGAAGATTTTGATTTGAGAAACGACATCAGATAATGACTCGTAAAGAGAAGCCAATATCAGCTGGCCCAAAGCAATATTACGACCTTGATGTAACTGAGTGGCCAAATATAAAAATTGTTTGGCTATCTACATAGACCTTGAACAAAAACAAAGTGAGACAACCATAAGGTCAGAAACACTACATGCTCTTCAGGAGCCACATGGCCTGAGGTTTTGGCATGATAGTCGATGAAGTTATTATACGTCGGTTTACCAGAATCACCTACATTAAACTTTAAAGATATGGGGTTTGCATCCCCATGATTGAATACGCGACCAATCGGTTTTAATCCAGTGATAACAGCAATGTCTAAAAGTGTGGGAGTAATCATGCCACACTTTGTATAAAAGGTATTGGTCGAAGCCTCCCAAAATTAGATTGCATCCAGTAGCATACTGCAGGAATAACGAGGGCCACATCAAGAGATTTGTAAAGGGTTTAGATACCTAAATTTTTCCATTGATAAAGTTTTTCTTCCTCTAAACGTGTCATCCAAGCATGAAAGTTAGGGAAATTTCTGGGAGGAGCACTCCAAAAGTTTCTATCTACATAGTGTAGTGAAAAGGGCTTTTCAAGAGAAACCAGTGGTTTGGTAAGTTAACTGGTTGGGAAGAATGCATGTTCGTCCATAGAAATCTATGGTCTACGTTCTTCAGAGAGAGGACGTAGAAATGCCATGGGTTTATCATCTAGAGATAAAGGGATTAATACATGTGATTGCCATATCTTTTCTTTTTCTTCTAAATAAGGTGGCTCGGGAACATATTCCTTCCCATCAATAAGGAGTGGATATGGAAGCATTGTAGAAGAAGGAACCTTTCTACCGGAGCTTGCCATTGAAAAAGACAGAGAAGCTTGAAGAAGAAGAAGATTGGAAGGAAAAAGGATTTGCGTTCTTTGAGGACAAAATACGTTGAGTCAAAAGGTTGAAGAGAAAAGTCAAAAGAGGGAAGAAATGGGTTTTATAGAAGGAAAAATCTAAGTGAAAAGGAAAAATAAATAATCAAGAAAATGATTAAAATTCTCTTTCCCAACTCCTGAAATTCGTGTCACTTGGGCTATGGACACGTGGTGAGAGGGAGTATCGAGATGGTGGGCCACGTCTCCCACTAAGAAAAAGAAATGATGGAGAATTAATAGCTGCATATCTCGAGGAGAAGACGTCATACGCTATCATGATTGCGTGACATCATGAGTAAGGGGGAAACAGTTACGCCAACTAAGGGAGAAATGGAAGTGAATGAGTTGTTGGAAAAATGGTCGATATTTCAAAGATGCCATTGTCTCATGTTGGCCAAACTTCGAAAATGGCATCTATGGGGGGAATTTTGTTACCTTAAAAAATATTTTAAGGTATATATTACGTAATTAATGAGGGTAGTACCACGAGTTAAGAAGAAGGTCTCCTACAAATAAAGTTTGTAAGGAAATTAAGCTCGAGAATGAGAAATAGTTGGAAAAATTATAAGTCAGCAGTGGAAAGTCGGCAGAATCGACAAGCAAGCTAGTCAAAGTTTGGTCTTGTCGACCAAAATGAAATCTGAGACTTAGAGAAGTTTGGATCATCTACCTATGCTAAAGGATGGTGTCGAAGTAACCGCTGAAGCGGGATAATTTTGAAATTTGAAAATATCAGCAGTTACAAGACAATTTTCCAAATTAAGCACCAAGTACATGGTGAAAATATAGATAAGTAGTTACCTTAGGCCAAATATGTCTCAATTGTATAGTGTGTTCTAGTATGTAGGCAGTTAGATTTGTAACTACTATAAATAAAAGGATCCAATGCAGGATTTGGGGTGTTCACTTTGTACTAGAATAACCTAACAAGCCCAACATTTCAAGCGTAAGGAAGCAAAGGGTTTCAAAGGTGTTAATGTACATGAATCACCATCTTTATGTCAATTCAAATTCCTTTCTTTTCAGTTGTTCCTTTTGAATCTTTTACTTTAATTTTATTTACTTTCGAATGATCCTTTTATATTATCATCTACACTTTTGAAACTCGTTCTATCTCTATACTAGAGTTCACTAAAGAGTCACTCAATATTTATTTCATTTAAACAAGTCATAACCTACTGTCAGTCATGAGTCACCTTCAGTCGGTCAAAACATTACATTGTGGATACTCATTCTTGTTCTATCCGTCATAGAAAACTATTTCTAAAAAAAAAAAGCAAAGCCTTACGTCGGTCGAGCAAGTTACACTTAGATACATTAGCTCATGTCTTAGGATCAACTAGTCGATCTTGCAAGTGACCCTTAGTTTTTAGGCTTCGGAAAGACTAGCGTTTTTTTACCTTTTTCCATAGTAAACAATTACTCCCCACAGAGTTTCATCTCCTCAAGGGTTTCTTCCCAGCAGTTCCTTATATTTTCTCTTCTCCAGCAGACTTTGCATTTTATTTTTGCAAGTCTTGTCATATTTTGACTTCTTGGTTGTTGGCTTCTCGATTAGCCATTCCCCAGTGAAGCATTTAAACATGCATCATTATATTGAATCTACCAAAACGCGTAGCATTTCTATTATATGGAGAATTACGCTATAAAAAAAATCTAAACGTGCATCAAAACATAAGCCATTACTATTTCTCCTTCCCCCAGTGAATTTTCTAATACTTCAGATTATATCCCCAGTGAGGTCTTCATCCTCAGTATCTCAGCTTCACCCCATATAAATATGCTTTTGATGTTAATCATGTGAATGGTTGAGTGTCTACTCTTGATTGTAGTTCAATTTTGCCCTGACGCAGTTTCTCGGGTTTAGTCTTCACTACCCTTGTCGGTTCATTCCAATGTCTATTCATGTACCTTTTGAATACCAGTTTTTTTCCTGATGTTCGCTTTCAATAGGTTTTTAGTAGTACGCCCTAATCACCTTGCTTTGGGTCGAGTTTTGAGTTTCGTCTCCTCACCCGCGCATGAAATCTAGTTTTTGTTATGGTACTCATCTAGTTTAGTTTTGTCTAACTAGTTAGTCGAGTGTCGTCTCATTTTGTTTTCATACCTTGGACTTCCATCAGTGTTTGATTACTGGATCCTTTATCGGTTTTCATTTACCGAGTCTCTTTGCAGTGTTCGTAATTGCGTCCCTGGTTGAAATCAGTCTCCTTTGTTCCTTGGATTCTTCTATAAGTTTTCATTACTGTTTATCTAGTGATCAGAGACTAGCAAGTGCTCTGAGAAACGTGTACTCTCATCACTTTTCTTTGGGTCGAGTCTTGATCTCTTTGCCTGTGCATGAAATCCAGTTTTCATTCTGGTACTCATCTAGTTTAGTTTTGTCTAACTAGTCTTAATGAGTTGAGTTTCGTCTCGTTTTGTTTCTTACTCCTATGATTCTTTCAGTGCCTTCATACTATCTATTTCAGGTTGAAACATGTCTCTTTTATAACTGTTGGGATCTTTCAGTTCCATCTTATTGTCTTCCTTTGGTTAGAGACCAACAGGTGCTCTGAGAAACACGCACTCTCATCACTTTTGTTATGAGTCGAGTTTTTCCTCGTTACTCGTGCGTGAAATCCAATTTTCGTTATGTTACTCATTTATTTTAGTTTTGTCTAACTAGTTTTAATGAGTCGAGTTTCATCTCGTTTTGTTTCTTACTCCTGGGATTCTTTCAGTTCCTTCATACTGTCTATATTGGGTTGAAACTTGTCTCTTTTATAACTTTTAGGATCTTTCAGTTCCATCTCATTGTCTTCCCTTGGTTTGAGACTAGCAGGTGCTCCTAGAATCGCACGCTCTAGCCACTTTGCCCCGCGTACTTTTCCAGAGTTTAGTTTTTCCTATTCTCAGTGGTTTGAGTCTTATCTCACCCTCTTTTGTGGTTCGATTTTATCCTGACACTTTGTTCTGAAGTTTAGTTTTGTCTAATATTCTAAATCCCGCGTCTGCTGGCATTCTTTGTCTTTGGGGGGTTCTGCTTCTTTTTCAAGAGTGTAAATTTTTGAGTTCTTTTGTATTCAATCATCTTCAACTCTTAACGCTTGAAAGTTGTCACTTTTCTCACTTATCATGTTAAAGATGATTGAATAGGGACAGTCGTTGCACCCCAAAATTTACCCTCTTGATTTTAGAATTTTTTATGACTTGTGTTTCATCATACATATTCATGTATGGTGATGGGGTCAAGGTATTATTATCTTCCTGGTTTTCTTCAAGTTGTGAAATTGTTTGTATTGGTAGTCATTTCAAGATGGCTCTCATATCCTCATTATTTTGATTATTCAGACTACCAAGGCTTATTATACTTTAGGACACTTCATTTTACTCCTTGTTTCATCAAAGGGGTTGAAAAGTTGTTAGGGTTTTCAGTTGGATGCTAGGTTTTTCAGTGGAGAAGATCACAGACTTTGGCTTTGATGTTGAGTTACTTCTTTGTCCAATATACCTCCTAAGGGTTGTGATATGGCCACCTATCATGGATCTTTTATCCTCAAGAGGCATTGCTTCTCCTTGTTAGGATTTCATTTGTTTGAGATATAAAGTGTGAGCCATAATGTGTTGAGCTTAGAGATTCTTCGTGATAAAGATTTCATTCCCCCTAGTATTGGTTACTTGACACACAAGTATTGGTTTATATTGAAATTTGAATTGAGATAAGGATCCATAGAGAGTTTGAAGACTTAATTTGAAAAAAATATTCACGGAAGTTTATTAAGGTGTAAGTATCATATGATTTACTTGTAATACTGGTTATTGGGAGTGAAAGGCACACACTTTGGTTACAAGTTTATTCAAGTAGGTTTGTTTTCCTAAATTCATCAAGCATATTCATTCAAGTTATGATTTGAATTCCACATAAATTAACCATCCATTCATTCAAGTTCTATGTCGAAGCTTCAAGATACAAGAATTTTCAAATTTCTTAAAGCTTAAAAAGACATTTAAAGTTTATCAAATTGACAAGATTATTACATCAATTTCAAGGTTACAAGTTTGATTTGTAATGAGGATTTCATTATAAAATCTTGCAAGTTTTATTACATGAGGAAAATTACACAAAATTCCTAAGCTACTTGTGAAGCCATGAACTAAATTCTAAATTTATGCTAAGTTTTCTTTAAGCTATTGGTCTTCATTTTCTTCATGTCAAGCTCCATGCCATCTTCTTCATCTCCCCTCATCACCATTCTCAAGCTCACATGAAAAAAACAAGAAAGAAAACATTGGTTAGCAATTTAAATTTCAAACATAAAAAAGAAGTTTTCTAACAAAAGAGTTTTCAAAGAGTTTCTTTTACAAGTCTCATCATGAGGGTTTGTGTAGAGGAATCAGTTTAGAGGGTGATTTTTAAATCAAATTCAAGCATCCACAAGGTATCATACAATTTATAATTGTAAGTTTCAATAATGGGCCAAGAAGCAAAATTGTACTACAAATCTCAAACAAAAATCCAAGAAAAGTGACTTTTGTTCGGTTCACAATAAAAAATGGCAAAACCAAAGCATCACAGGTCCAACATACAACAAAAATGCAAGTATGAATTGAAAGTGTTAAGTCCAGCAAACATATTAGAAAATATAACAGAATTATCTTAGCAAACAACCAAACATAGAAGAAAAAAAGAAAGACTGTAGTAACAAAGCCAAAATTGCATCTAAGGCCCAAGATAACAAAAATTGCAGTAAGATATTAGTAGAATTTCACAACTCAGCAAACCGCTTTCAGAAAGCAAGTCAAAATCACAAGCCTCATCCCAACAAGCAAGCAAATTACTGCAGCAAACAGATTCACCAACCAATAATAATAAACAAAATTATCACAACCCAGGTGCAATTCAAAAAATCACAAATTTGAATGACGATTTTAGCCCAAGCAACAAATAAAATAATAATAAAAGGTAAACATATCTTATTCGCATAACCCAAAGGAAGAATTCCTCAAGGCCTGTTAACATCACAGTTCATAAACCCAAACCCTAAAATCCTTTCAGTATTTAAGCATTCATTAGCACTGAAATCAGGTGGGGTCACCGTTCATACAATCACTAAAGATGCACAACAGAAAACCCTTAAAAGTTCATCATCTTCCACATTTTTACAAACCCTTCAGATCTCAGAAATAATCACTGTTCACGCATATCACAAAAAACCAACAAGCTTTCAAGTATAAACTCTAAGAATCATCACTTTCCTCTCACGCACAAACCCTTCATAAAATTGGTTCTCGAAAATTGCAATTTTTGATTTCATGAAAAAGATGAAGAAGAAAGAAAATTGCAAGTCGCAGTATGAAGAGAGAGAAGAAGATTAGAGAGATCCCACCGAAATTGCGATCTAAGCAACATAGGTTTTCATTTTCCCCTTTCAAGATCCCGGCCAAATCCTTCAGAATCTGCAAAATCCAACCATGGATTAGTGTTGAGAAGAAGAAGATGAATGGAACAGTGTAAAAAAATGGATGATCGAAGGCAGATCGCTGTCCGCCGCCGCCGTGAGGCAATTTATGGTGCGACGGCTATGTCGTCTCCAGCGAGTTTCATTTGAGAGATAAGATGAGAGAACCAGGGCTTTTAGAGAGAGGGAGTTGTTATATTATGTTATTAATATTTTTGTTCTTCATTTTTAGTAAATGCCTTCTGATATTTTATTCTTATGGATTTGGTGTGTTTGGTTCAGACTGGTGCGGTGGTGACAAGTGTCTCCACCTTGAGACACTTGTCACCGTTCAAATGAAGTATCAATGGTTGTACGTGTGTGATCTAGGATTCCTTATGGTTCATCTTTATTCAATAGCGTTGGATCATCATCGAATTAACAACAACAACATCCAACGTCCCCGAGGTGCCTCCCATGGTACACCTCCACTAAAGCTCACGCACAGGATCACACAGCTTTACCCAAGATCCCATGCATTGTTCTCCTTCAGGCCTATAATGCACCCTCCATTTTTAACGATCAGATCTTTCCAGATCTGATCTGGCGCTCTAGCTGTGCACTACCATTGTGAACTCCCTGGGACTGCGCCACACCAGATCAGCGAACATTCTTGTTGGGCCTAGAATCCTTGCTGATTACACCCCCCATAATTGTTGCTTCAAGGCCCATTTGGTTTACTTTCTTTATATTTTTATATTGTTTTGTTATTTATTTTGATTTTTATCAAATAAAAAAAATATAAAATACAAAAATATAATTACTTTTTTTAAAGAAAACAATTATCCTAAAAATATTATTTGATATTATTAATTATTTTGATTAATTAACTTATTATTAAATAGATAGGTTTTTAGTTTATTTAATTGTTTAATCATTTCGATTGAGTTGTGTCGATTGTTTATTTAAACTTTTTATCGTATTATAGATTTGATATATCACCATTCATAAACTTGTATCCCCATTCCCATATTGTTTGTAATAGTTTAGAATTTTATTTCTTGCTATTTTCTTTATATGTATAAAAATTGTTATTATGCATTTTTTTTTGTATTAGAACACTTGGGCTCATCATCAATGAAAAGGTATCCATCTACAAATGCACACTTGCACACATTTCATAGTTTAGTCCTGGGATTTTCTACAACGACAACTACTAGATCAATTGTTCTAATTGGTCGTTTAGAATACTAGTGTCACACTAGTCCCACTTTCTAGGAGCATGCATATAGCCACCTTGTATGGGCTTTTGATTTTTATCTTATGCATTGAAGTAACTCTCCTATCTCCCCTTGGTCCACATACCAAGCATTTTCTTAAAGGGTCTCATGATTGAGTCTGGGCATGGCCATTCTCACGAGGTTAATCAAGTTTTGCTCTTGTTTAACCATAACCCGAATTAATCACTTTGGTCCATACCAAGTGTTCCCATGCAACAAAAGGGTCTCCTAGTTGAGTTTGGGCATGGCCATTCTCACGAGGTTCATTAAGTCTTGCCCTTGTTTAACCATAACTCGCACCCATCACTTTGGTCCATTAACAAGTGTTTCCATGTACAAGGGGTCTCATGGTTGAGGGTAGGAGCACCTACTCTCATGAGATTAATCAAGTACACCCCTTGGTTAATCATAACCCGATTCAACTCCCATACCCCAAGCATTCCCTTTATCTTATGGACATTTATGTTATGACCTTGCGATTGATCGTTGACGCAACCCGGGTATACCTAATTAATGGTTGATTGAGGAGGCTTAAGGAGTCGTTCTGTAGAGTTGTCTTATTTCATGCGCTTCGAAGAGGCAATGGACCTACTCAGTTAGGTATCATTATGACCGTATTCTTATCTCTGCATTTTAATGCTTTCTAGAGATCATGTCAAGCAGGAATAGAGATGCATGAAAGGGACCTCTGTTGCTGATATTTGTCAGGAATCCCTCTGGTTTATTTAAAGACATGTTTAAGGTGATTCCTCATATGTGCCTTTCTTGCTACTCATGTTTTATGCTTTTGCCAAATCACTTGTTTGTTTATTTGTTTGCTATACCACACTTCCCTTAGGATCACTCGATTGGAGTAGATTTTGATCTAGACATTAGGATAGATATCCATGCATGCTAACATAGGGTAGAGACTTCCCTTTCAAAATTCAACCTTAGGTCCATCATTGTATGATAACATTATAGGTAGTGCTAAGCTAGTCTCCCTTAGTTATTTTCCCTTTCTTTGCATATTGCATCTTAAAACTAAAACCTTCTTTTTTCTTTCAAACTTCAAAACACTCTAATAAAATTCAAATCCTTTTCTGAGGTAAAAAATACAAACCAATCTTATTTTTTGTGTGCCTTTTTGGCTTTGCTTTAGACCTTGCTAGGTTGTTGTTTTATCATCCATGCCATGATGTTTCATCATCTTTGTGTCGATGTTTCGTCTTTGCATATGTTTATTATCCTACTTTGATTTTCGATATCATCGTTAGGTGTGATGTTTTATCATCTAAGGTTGTGATGTTTTTCCATCCATGTTGTGATGTTTTACCATATAAGTTGTGATGTTTCATCATCCTTGCCATGATATTTTACTATCGTTTAGTCGATGTTTCGTCACCGCACGTGTTTGTTATCCTATCTTGATTTTCAATATCATTGTTAGGTGTGATATTTTATCATATAAATTTTGATGTTTTGCCATCCTCGCCATGTTATTTTATTATCTCTTCACTGATGTTTCGCCATCGCACATGTTTGTTATCCTACCATGATTTTTAATATCATTGTTAGGTGTGATGTTTTATCATCTAAATTTTGATGTTTTGTCATCCTAGCCATGTTATTTTATTATATCTTCTCCGATGTTTCACCATCGCACATGTTTGCTATCCTACCTTGATTTTCGATATCATTGTTAGGTGTGATGTTTTATCACCTGAATTGTTGATGTCTCGCAATCTTTGCCATGTTATCTTGCTATCTTTTAGCCAACATTTTGCCATCACATATATGTTTTACCGATATTTCGTCATCGCATATGTTTGTTATCCTACTTTGATTCTCAATATCATTGTTAAGTGTGATGTTTTATCATCCGAATTATTGACATCTTGCAATCTTTGCCATGTTATTTTGCTATATTTTAGCCGATGTTTCACCATCGCATATGTGTTTTACCGATGTTTCTTCATTGCATATGTTTGTTATCCTACTTTGATTCTTGATATCATTGTTAGGTGTAATGTTTTATCGTCTTGTCTGATATTTTGTTATCATGCTGACATTTTATCATCTTATCTGAGTTTGTATTGCCATTGTTGTTCCTTTTTTGTTGTTTTATCATCGTTGTTGATGTCTTGTCGTTTTATCTGATGTTTTACCATCTTGGCTGTTGCTTTTGTCTTCTTAACTAAAAAAATACAAACCAACCAAAATATATGGGCAGAACTACGGCTGCTATAATTCCATAAAAGGGATACGTAGGCATTGGGGTAGGGACCGTACGAGTACAAATTTTATTTTCCCTACATTATTTTATCCTTTATTTTGCATGCATTCCCTCTTGTATCTTTTCCTTTAGCTTTTAAACCTTAGACGTAGATTTTACACACCCATAAGATAGATAGCAAGAGTGGATATCATAGAGTACTACGAACGTGTGGAGCACAAATTTTATTTTCCCTATATTATTTTATCCTTTATTTTGCATGCATTCCCTCTTGCATCTTTTCCTTTAGCTTTTAAACCTTAGACGTAGATTTTACACACCCATAAGATAGACAGCAAGAGTGGATATCATAGAGTACTACGAACGTGTGGAGTGCTAATACCTTCCCCTCGCGTAGTAGACTCCCTTACCTGATCTCTCGGTCGTTTGACCGTGATTTCACCCTCTTCAGGTTTTCTCGATGTTTACCTTTCCCTTTAAGCGGGATAAAAGACGTTCGGTGGCGACTTCATTGATTTTATTATCCAATGACGGTTCGTCTAGTTGTTTTAGCTGGAGACTTCACTAGGGATAGATTGACCTATTGTTGGTCCATTCCAGAGTCGATCCTAGCTCTTGTTTGTTTACTTCTTTGGGTGTTTATTTATTTCCAATTATTTACAACTTTATATACACTGCTTGCATATGTTTACACATGCATTTTATTGCTTTCCATATACTATTGTTGTGATGGATTTGTGTTCTTTGATTGGGTGGGTGTTATAAGAGGTAAAAGGCCCAATATCCAGGCCAAGTCACAACCATAGGAACCTTTGGAATAGAGTGGAACATGAATGGCTAGTCGACTTTGGTTTTCTAGTACAGTCATGTCTTCCATGCTCAGATGAGGTACAAATGGAGGGTTATCATTTTCACTTAAGTGATATGGTGATAGTTTTCCAGGAGCACCCTCGATTCTGAGTGACTCGGCCTTACCTTGACCTAGTTTTCACCTGTGAGTGGGGAGGGACTTGATTATCACAGGTACCGATGGTGACTTTTGGGTTTTGTTGGTGATTTTGTTTGTGTTGGTGACTATGTGTTCTCCTGGTTTTATTCTGGACTTCTCACTTTGTGATGACCATTTATTTCAACAATTCAGCATTTATCCAGCGTTCTGGAAGCCTTGATCTCGTACAATTGTGGATCTACTTGGTACTTAGTTCTTGTATGTTTTTAAGTTATGCCGGACTATTGATCTTGTGTCTTTCCGATGGTTCAAAGATAGTGCATCACTTATCTATTATGATGGGAACCTTGATCCCATGTCTTTGCATACATAGTATGTTAACACCATTTTAACACACATGTTCTTCCTATTTCCAAGGAACCATGCTTATGAGCTTTGTGTTACACTTCTCCACCTTTTACTGATTTAAAATCAAAATTAAAAGCATGTGAGTTCCTTGGAAATAATCAAACATGGCATTGCATCCACTCACGCACCTCATGCATATTCATGCATTCATAACAGGTACTCAGAGTTGGAGATTCATATTCAGGCTTGGTATTCTCTTCAGAGTTACAGACCTGAATTCTTGCTGTCACATGTTCAGAGATCAGTTATGGAATAACTTCGCGGTGTATTGGCTGAGATGAAGATTCAGATGTGGTTGTTCAGGATACATGCAAGCCTTGGCCAGTGATCTCGAACTCTTTGAGAAGGAAGATAATCAGTTTAAGACCCATTTGAGTCAGGTCATGGAAGTCTTGATGATAGTGTCAGCAATCATACACCGACTGTTGCAACGCGAGTTATTCTCTTCTCCTCATCTTTTGGGATTTCTTTCAAACAATGGAGTGCCTTGTTGATTCCATCCATTATCTTGAGTGCTTGGAACATTTTATCAGCAGATGATTCCCATTTACCAGTTGAATTCAAGAGGTTTGTTTTATCATCAAGATTAGAGGAAGCCTGGAGAATAGTTGTGATCCCATTTCAGTGATTTATTCTCATTTGTTTCCACACTCGTTTGAGCTTTAGTGGGTTAGGCTCCATACTTCAGTACCGTCTACAAATATCCCTTCCAAATCATGTCGTCAATGCCATATGTGGTTGCCATGCTGG